GCTCTTTCCAAACCCAACTTCATTTGGCTTGCAAAAAGGCTGTCTAACTTCAGTGTTTCCCATTATTGGAGCTATGAACATGAGTTATAGCTGTTAATCCCTCATTCACAATAAGCACAATGAACCTGACCATTAGTTCTTTGGGACTTGTTCTCTGAGAGTATGTCTTGGCTTGTCCAATCTCTTTATTCTGTGGTTGTCCATACCAGGTGTCTCTTACATCATGATCAGCACAAACCTAATAAGGAAAGAGTTCAGATTTAACAGACTAAGTGGATATTTTAAGAATAGGAATAAAGAGAAGTAAGAGGAAATGAGTTTAAAATTTAGATGAGTGCTTACACTAACTTCTTAATGTCCATGACCTTATCTATAATAAATGAGACTATAGGTATAAGTCTGAAGGGTTAAATTAGATGCTTTGTATGCAGTAAATGTCACCTATAAACCAGGCTTATAACTCCTTTTCTTCTTCTGTGTCCTTGTGGCCTGAATTGCTAGCAATCATCTTAGTTACCTAGAGATTCCCAAAAGACTGTGGGCTTGAGGATACCTGTGGATAATACCCGGTGGCTAAAATTGAGCTTTGCGGTGGTTCTGTCCAAGACACTCCTGTTTTCCCTGGAGTAAAATTTTTTCTCTACTATATCCCATTGCCCCTATGTGTCTTCTCTTATTCCAGCTAGCTGAACTCCCTCACTGTAGCCTTTTTGGGGCCAGACTCCTAACAGCCCTTCCCACTGCAAACCTCATTGTGATGAGTTTAGTGGAGAAAAATCTGCTAAGCCCCTATCCCCAGTAGGGCTTTGCTATGTGCGCCCTTTAAGGGAAGACAAATGTGGCTCTTGGTGATGAGTCACAGGCTGTTGTTACCTTGCTGTATGTGGAGCTGTCTGTGAAGTTCACACCAGGCCCCTTCAGAGAAGGTGCTAAATAATTCACCCAAACAGCCTGCCCTTACATCTGTCCTAGCCTGTCCCCTGATGACCTCAAGGGTGTATTTCTAAGTTCCTACCAGCTGTATGATGGTGTCTGGGGGTGGGGGAAGGCAGGAAGGTGAACAGGCTGAGCATGGAGCTTATCCTTGCTCTCAGGAATTCTCCAGGTTCCAGAGTAGATAGTGTGATTGGTGTGTACTGATGGCTTCTTGAGTCTAAGGACACCAGATGCTATGTTTAGACTCAAGCAGTATAAACATTTATTAAGCAGCCACCGTGTGCTGGACAATTTACCTTCCTTATCTTATAACCTGTCAAGTCCACAAGGCAGAGACGGTTTAATGGGCACAGAGAAGAAACATGACATGTCCCACTCCATACTTCCGGTAAGAGGAAGAGCCAGAACTGGCCCTAGATCATGTGACCAGTACCTGTGATCAAGGGTTCCTGGCATCTGGGGACACTTTTGGCTTTTATAAACTGTGGCTATCTTGGTGATTTATGCTCTGATACATTAGTCCTAATGCTACCAACTTCTCTAGATGGAAGTATATTTGTGATGCATGTTAAGCCCTTTCTACTGCTCATTTTAATTGTTCTGCTTTATATTTTGACCTGATCACCTACTGATCAAAGTGGTGACTAGAAGACCTTTTTCAAAATAATGTCTCATCCCAGCAACTTCCTGTGTGGAGGGAAGATGTGCATTATTAAACAGAATTCCAGGAATCTCTTGTAGGGCTCAATTTAGCCTGGGACTGAACAGTGTGAAACACAGACTCAGAGGAGGAGCTGGGTACACCAGGAAGGATGTACCAACAAGGGGTAGGCCAGGAGCATTTAGTTTCTCAATTTTAAGAGTATAACTTATGCACACTAAAACATGAGAAATCTTCCCTTTCAGCTACTCTCACTAGATGCACTTGCCTACCTTAGTTGGTGGGCAGGTAATTATAGCCCCTAATACTCATGCAAGTTTCTGGGTATATCTATCTGATACTGTACAGGGTGCTTTGTAAACATACTAAGGTTATCAACCATTGTCTGTACGTTTAGAGACGAGGTATCTTCAGAGCAAAAATAGTAATCAAAATTTTCTCTCTCTCGTGCACATGTGGACAGGCACACGCACAGAGTGAGAGTGGGAAGTAGGGGCGAGACCAGGCCGGGAATAGACATATACTTTTCGATTCTAATAAGAAAGCTAGTTCCATTATAGCAGGATTTTGTTTCAAACAAAAATAAATTATTTACCTCCTGCAGCAAGCTATTTATAGCTGTAAAGGAGCAGATAAGGTTAAAAAGAAAAAGGCAGACTCCAAGGCAGCAGGTTGGAAGATGCGGGTGCCGTAGCAGCTGCACTTCTTATTCTTTTTTTTCTCCGTCAGTCAGCAACCTGATAACTCCATAGGTGTGACAGTCTCACCATGCTATAATCAAAACAAAAATAAGCTATGCAGTCCCTCGCATCAGCTTCTGAGAAGGTGCTGCATCCTCCAAGGCCTCCCTGGGACAAGGTCCTCACCTCATCAGTGACCGGCACTAGCCTGACAGTCTGCTGAGCAGCCTGCGTCACTCCACCCTCATCCTGTACAAGGTAATGGCCCCAGAGGATAATAAGTCCAGCGCCCTCATTAAAGCAGCTGATGTCAGCGTGGAACCTCGGTGGCCTGGCTTGTTGGCAGAGGCTCTTGCCAGTGTCAGATTGGGGGCCTCATCTGCAACTGGGTTAGAGGACATAGGCCTGGTCCAGCACCTGGAGTTTTGCCTGCAGGCAATCCTGCCCCCCTCCTGAGGAGGAGAAAGTAGAAGCTGGAAAGAAATATCTGAGAGTCTGATGTCACGGGCTTTGGTGGTTTTGACTAAACCTCTCTTGTCAGTGTGTTCAATAAAAAGCCAAACCTGTTTTGTTTTGTGTTTTCAGTTATGTGGAAATGAAGGGATGTGGTTGTTTGTTATTTTCATCACTGAGTGTTACTAGGGAAACTGAGGTTCCGTCTTGAAGTGCTTGGTCTCATTAATTAAAGGACTTAGAAATAGACCCAGAAGGCCATGACAATTTTATTAGAGCGTAAGAGAAAAGCAGCACAGGTTAGGTGAAAACCTCCACAGCTGCCAGGAAGAGATCGAGAAAAAAAACAATGTAAGTATTTAGGTTAGGTATGGAGGAGAAATAGAGACCACCTTTAGGAAAGAAAAGGTTCTCCCAAGAATAGAAGCGGGCTCCTGAGCTGAGAAAAGAGCCCGAAGGTTTTTATTGGTTCTTTGAGAATTTCACACCATACACCCACTGCAGTCCCACTCATCTCCCCTTCTCCCCTTCTCCCACCCTCCACTCTTCCAACCTCCCTCCCACCGCCTGCCAACAATGAGAAAAAGAAAGACTCACTGTGGAAGCTGTCGGGTATCGCAATGTGTCCCCACAGTATACCCTTCTGTCCACGCTTCTTTGCTCGCAAATGTTCATTGCAACGGCTTGTTGGTCTGATACGAGGCCTCTAGCTTCTTCTACTCTGTCAATACTGGAACGTTACTGGGACTCCTCTCCAATATCCTGTTGTATAGCCCTGTAACATGGAGATCCTGTAGTTTGGGATCTGCTCAGCCCCTTCACGCACTCGAACAATTCATCAATGGGATATATTTTGGAGTGAGCCAATTCAAAGCTCTGGATCTGAGCCTGAAAGGTATCTGAGCTGGTCAGCTTGCTAGCTTTCCCACTCTCGTGCCTACAGAGGGGCTCACCAGCAACCCCCTCTTTCAGGGACAGTTCTACGTGGCTACCCAGGTGAGGTGCAAGGCCTGTTCTCCTGAGTGCTATAACTGGTGAGAGACATGGCCCGTTCTCCTACATCATGACCTCGGGGCCAGCTCTCCTACTTGCCATAGATGGCCAGGGACAAGGGAGGAGACGAGTATGTCTCCCTCATCCATGCCACTGCCCAGCAGACAAGAGGCAGGCCCAGCTCTCCCATACTCATGCCCTTGGGGCCAGCTTACCTGCAACTCCCACATCCAGGGCCAACTGCTGTGCTGCCCAGGAGAGGTGCATGGTCTGTCCTCCCAAGCGTTGCAGCAGGTGAGGGGCAGGGACAGCTTTCCCACTCTGATGACCAGCTCTCCTATGTGCCATAGGTGGCAAGGGATGAGAGGGGATCACTTATCCCTTGCCCATGTCACTGTATAGCAGACAAGTGGCAGGGCCAGCTCTCTCATGCTCATGCACTCAGGGCTGGATCAACGTCCCTTGCCACCAGGGTTAACTCTACAGTGCTGCCCAGACGAGGTGTATCACCTGCTATTCTGAGTGCTGCAGCTGGTGAGGGGCAGGGACAGCTCTCCTGCTCTCATACTTCCAGGGCCAGGTCTCCCACAATGCTCAGGAGAGGGGTGGGACCAGTTCTGCTTAGTTGATGCTCAAACATCAACATGTTTCTGGGCAGCAGCCCAGACCAGGGACATCTGGCCTGGCCTTTGATGGTAACAGACCCCTGCTGCTTCAGGGTCATGTATCCAGACATGCCCCACTGGCAGCACAGGCTAGGACCTCACCACGGTCTCAGGTGGCATCACTGGCTATTCACATCAGGCTGTTCCTCACAATCCTTAAGTTTCCCATTCTGCCTCTCTTCATTCTTACGTTTCTCTTTTTCTTCCATTCTTCACCACTTACTTGTTCCTCTTAGTGGTGCCCAGAGTCTCTGAGTGTCTGAGGTTGCCTCAGGAGTGGTCTCAGGAGTCCTATGCCCAACTCATGCATTATGGCACCAGGGAGGAGTCATGTATAGCATGGTCTGCCTCTCTCCCAGGCCTGTGCAGTGTCCAACTGCAGGCTAGCTTTCTGTCTAGTCCTGTGGCACCTCTCAGGGGGTCATCTCCAGCTTACTGCTCACCTGGCCCCCCCATGTGAGGTTCATTTTCTTGGGTTCATTCCTGCCCGGGCCCTCAATCCCAGGCAGGGTTCTTCTAGTCTCTGACTTGCCCCCCCCCCCAATCCTGGGAACGATCAGGAGCTGTATGATGCTGGACTGGTGGTCAACTTAGACTTGCTTTTTTTCAGGGAGTGTTAGACTAATAATCATTCAGATGTTTGTAAGTCAGAACACTGAGCATAGACATAGTGTCTCTCTTCTCTGTCACCTCCTGACACACATGTGACACAGCAGCCACACCTGCAATGCCTCTAGGGTCAGGCCTGAAGTGTCTTTGATACCCACTCCCTCCCCACTTGAACAGTCTGGGACTGTTTATCCCATATATTCCTTGGATGATGTCAAGGTAAGGAAGGCTCCCAATCTTCATCTGAAAACTGCCTTCACTTATCGGTTCATCTTGATGTAGCTCTTTTTCTGTTCCTACTCTGTCACATGAAGACATCATCAGCTATTAGTCTTACAGCCAGCCATAAACTAGGCTGTGGTTATTCATCCATTTATTTAGCTAATCATTATGAAAGGCCTGTTAACAGAGCAGAGATGAGTATAGAGAGCAGACCCTGAAATTGATGGGTTCTTGTGGCTCTTTACAATGAATTGTACAAAAACTCATCTATCGTTACAGGATAGGAGTTAGTTCATTAAGGGGAAGGAACAGAGTGGTCTAAAGGTGTGCTATGTCTCCCCTGTGTCCTGACTCCAAGAGGGCAAGAAGAGCTGAGGTCTCTCATGGCCTTTTGGGTATTGTTAGCATAGTACCCACCTCTCCCAAGTTTGTATGACACAGCTTTTCCAGGCATGTTCCCTTGGATGAATGAAGCTCAGATGGTAAGGGCTGCCTGTCTCTGTTTGTCTCTGGATCTTCCTCTGTTCCTCTGTTTTCCTGCTTCAGGACTACTGTGGGTCCTGGTGAAAAGACCAGGCCTGACCCCCTCCCCGCAAGTCCCAGGAACTAGGCCATAGGTCACCAATCCCAGGAATGAGAAAGCCATAAAATTACCCAAGGAATAGGCTGGAAGTAACCACAAGAACGGGAAGGTATCTTATCTGAGGGTGGGGCATCTGTGCTGGGCAGCCCACCAACCTAACATTCCTAATGTTAGTTAGGCAATCACTTTGTAACAAGCTTGCCCTTGCTGAATATCATCCAATCATGTAATTGCTAAGCTGGGAATTCCGGGTTCTTGCTCAAGCCCCAAATAAAAACCCTGCCATGTAGCTGCTCCTGGCTCTTCTCTCTAATCCACTGGATTTATCTCTCCCCCTCTTGCTCTTTGTTTTTGCATATGTGGTCCGGCTGTTGGTGGCCTTTGGGGACCTTAAGGTCTGGGCACAACACTGGCTCTGAGAATAGAAGGCTGGGTGGAACTGACGGACATTCTATACTGAGATATAAAGCAGAATAAGTGAGTAAAACACATTAATGCTTAGTGAGCACCGGGTTTAGCTTTCAGAGTGGCAGTGGGAGGAAAACGGTGGACCCTTTGATTGACAAAACAATAATTTGCTAAAAAGCACATTAATACATATTTAAAAGCAATCATTTAAGGCTCCTGGAAGATTTCCTAATGTCATGAAGCCTGGTGGTAAAACATCTAATCAAGAAAACCTACCAAATTGTGCAAAGTGATACTTTGTGGCATTTGAACTATGACTGCTCACCTTCATTTTCTCTTCTTACACAGATCAGTGTAATAGAAACTATACTCTGTATACAGTCAAGAACAGACATCTAGAGCTATTGTTTCATTTTGGGAGGGACAGCTTTAAAGATGGAAAACACCCTGCCCTTGCAAAGGAGCCTGTCTTTCATCAGATCAAAGTTTTAGGCAGTTTATTGCAAAAGGTATTGTCAAGAACAATAGAACAATCAGCTAGCCATGAGTACTAGCTAACAGATAGCTGTGAAACCAATAAATACAGACCAGCCCAGTTGCCCAAGCATTCTGTGTTCACGTTGTCTGCCAACCACCACTGCAGGAGAAACAACTTAATTTAACTTCCATAACCAGTCACTAAACAAAAATAAAGAAACTATGGAAAGGGGGGAGGTGGGGTTGCAGTCAGAATTATCACAGTGTTCTATGTAAAATGTCCATTTCAACGAAATATCTTCAATTTTTAGAATATTTTGAGAATTTCCAATATAAGTACTGTATTTACATCATTTTCACTGCTTCTGTCCCCACACCAACTCTTCCTATGTCCCTCTCAAATTTATGACTTCTTTAATTATTATTGTGTTACACCACACAGAGAGAGAGAGAGAGAGACAGAGATAGAGATAAAGCCATTTATTGTTGCTCATCTGTATGATGTGTATAGGACTGACCCCTTTGGATTGAATAATCTATTAGAGGCTTACCCCTGGAGAAGACTGATGCCCCATCACTCAGCAGCCATTTAATCCCCTATAGCTTTTCTTTTAGGGATGACACTGTGAGATTCCTCCTATTCATGCTGGCATGTCAGCTGGTATTGACATCGTGCAGGTTTCATTTGGCAACTATATTGGTTACCCCAAGATATAAGTACTGCTGTTGTATCCTTGGGACATCCTGCCCCAGTAGCCATCACTGTACTTTGTACACTTTACTGCTATCTGAGGTCACTGACTGCATTTCTCCCTTGGCACCTGGCACAGCACCTTTGGATAATATGAGAGCTAGTCCTTGGGGAGGAGGCATAGGGGTCAGTTCTAGCTTGATTCCTCCAAATCCTGTGTCCAAAGCGTGTAGTATATCCAGCAGTAGGATCCTGCCTTCAGTATCTGTAAGGCAAGAAAGGGCTATGATAACAGCCTATATTGTTTGGGGAGTCTCTTGGACATCCCTGACCAAAACCTCAAAGTATGGTTTTCCTCTGACTGGCACTGGGGTTTTTGTTGATAAGTCTATGGTTCTCAGAGGAATATTGCCACCAAAGTACTGTAATCTTATTTAAACTATCTATATATCTATCCATCTATTCACGTATGTATATAGACACGCTTTACATGCATGTAATTCTAAGTAGACATAAAATAATGTCTTTGGTAGCGTTTTTTTATCCCTCTTCCCTCGCCCAAAAGCATTATTTCCCCAAATGGTGTACTTCATTAATATATAATAAATATACACATGTAGTTTATATGTCTATATAGATAGGAGTAAATATACATGTATGTATTTTAAGTATACATAAATTAATGATTCTCTATGGCTTTTTTCAATCATCTATAGAGTTCTTTATTCCTCCTGCCTTGCTTTCTCTATATGTTGTCTTCTTTTCCTTCTCACTAGTTAAAGTCCCTCCATTTTTTCCCATTTCCCCCTTCATAGCACCTATGCCCTTCTACCCCCCCCAGAGCTTTTTCTAACACACACACACACACACACACACACACACACACACACACACACACACACTCACACAATCACTTTTTTTGTTTGTTTCTGAGCTGTTTGGTTCTTCTACACTCACATATAAAGAGTCAGCCCTAGGATCCGCAAAGAAGACAGAAAATGACAGCATTTGTCTTAAGAGTTGCTTTACTCAGTATGATATTTTCTAGTTCCGTCCATTTATCTGGACATTTCTTGATTTTATTCTTTTCTGCTGATGAGTTGGATTCCACTGTGTGAATGTATGTACCACGTCTCTATCACCAGTTTCACCAGTTGAAGGACATCTGGGTTTTTATATTGTATAGCTATTGTGAGAGGAGCTGTAATTAACATGGCTGAGCACTGTGGAGTAGGCTATTGAGTTGGGGGGGGGGCACATGCTAATGAGTGGTATAGCTAGGTCATATGGTAGAACAACTTTTAGCTCTGAGAATTCTCCACACTGATTTCTGGAGTAACTATGCCGGTCTGCGGTCCCACCAACAGTCATTGAAGGTTCCCCTTCCCCCACATCCTCGCCAGTGTTTGTTATCTGCTGTTTCCTTGATCTTGCCCGTTCTAACTAGGGTAAGATAACATTTCAAAGTAATCTTAATTTTCATCTCCCTGACTTCTGACGTTGTTGAACACTTTAAAAGGTCTTTCTTAGCCATTATTTTTCCTTTTGAGAATTCTCCTTTTAGATATGTAGCCCATTTTTTTTAATTAGATTTTTTTTTTACTCTTTGGTTGTTGTCGTTGTTGTTCATGATCTTATTCTGTTATTTCTGTTAATACTATAAATATTAACCTCTACCAGATGTATAGCTGACAAAGATTCTCTCCCACTCTCTAGCCTTCCTCTCCACTGACTTGATTTCTGTCTTTGCTTTTCTGTTTTATGAAGATGATTTTTTTCAGGTTTTCCTGAGCAAATAGAATCTTATTCACAAAGTCCATTCCTGCACATATAGTACTGCCTTTGTTTTCTTCTCGAAGTTCCAGTGTTTCAGATTTTCCACTGAGGTCTTTGGCCCATTTGGAATTGATTTCTGTGTTTGGTGATAGGTATAAGTCTAATTTCTTTTTTGTTGCTGTTGTTGTTGTTTTTAATTTTTATTTTTTATATTAATTACAGTTTATTTACTTTGTATCCTAGCTGTAGCCCTCTCCCTCATTCCCTCCCAATTCCACCCTCCCTCCCTCATCTCTTCCCTCCCTCTTTCTAAGACCACTGATAGGGGAGGTTCTCCTCCCCTTCCATCTGACCCTAGCTTATCAGGTCTCATCAGGACTGGCTGTATTGTCCTCCTCTGGGGCCTAGCAAGGCTGCTCCTCCCTCGGGAGTGGGGGAGGTCAAAGAGCCCACCACTAAGTTCATGTCAAAGACAGTCCCTGTTCCCCTTACTAGGGAAACCCACTTGGATGCTAAGCTGCCATGGGCTACGTCTGAACAGGGGTTCTAGGTTATATCCATGAATGGTTCTTGGTTGGAGTATCAGTCTCAGAAAAGACCCCTGTGCCCACAGATATATTTGGTCCTTGTGGCGTTCCTGTCCTCTCCAGGTCTTACTAACTCCCCCTTCTTTCATAAGATTCCCTGCACTCTGCCCAAAGTTTGGCTATGAGTCTCAGCATCTGCTTTGATACACTATTAGGTAGAGTCTTTCAGAGGCTCTCTATAATAGGCTCCTGTTCTGTTTCTTGTTTTCTCCTACTTTCAATGTCCATCCCATTTGCCTTTCTAAGTGAGGGTTGATCATCTTACGCCAGGACCTCCTTCTTGTTTAGCTTCTTCAGGTGTACAGATTTTAGTATGTTTATCCTATCTTATAGGTCTAGTATCCACTTATAAGTGAGTATATACTGTGTGTGTCTTTGCTTCTGGGATACC